CCAATGAAAAACATTGCACTAAAGCTGAAAACAAAACCCAAAACACTATTTTTTATTAGTACTACATCTTAGCAGAACAAAAGACACCCCTACAATAGTTACAACAAATGAGAAAATGAAAAAAATGTTTTAATGAAAAAAATTTATAAAATGAGAAAGTGATAGCCTATACTGTCATTATGACAGTGAAGTCATCTCAGTGTTCTACCCTGAAAATTAGGTTTATATTGTTTCTATACAGTATAGCTAAAATGAAAATTATCTGACTTCTTAAAAATAGTCGGGTCGTGAATTTAGCTCAGTGGTGCCACTGCCTGTCTCACAAGTGGAAGGTCCAGAGTTCAATCCCAGGTACCAAAAAAAAAAAAAATAGTCACTGTAGTACAATAGTAAAACTCTGAACTAAACTGAAAAGGATTACAAAACATCAAGGGTGTACTCTTCTATTTCCCATACCAGTGATAGCATAGGTAGAGGTTAAGAGCACAATCTGAGTTAAGACCACCTATGCTTGATTCCTGCCTCCACCACTTCCTAAATGAGTGATCCTCAGGTAACTCTCCCCGTGCCTGTTTCTTCATCTAAGAAATGGGAATAACAAGAAAACCTTCATGTGGTTGTTGAGAAAATGAAATGAGATAATATGAGGCTAAGTTTAGAACACTGGTATATGAAAGCACTCAATTGAGGGTAGCTATTATTATTATCAAACTCAAGACCCAGAAAAATGTACTCAGCAATGATAAAATCAATTAAGTACATAGTGAATGCCAACATATCCACTGCTGTGCCAGGCACTGGAGCTAAGGAGAACTATACAATGGGGAATGTCTCTCTATCCCCACAAAATGAATGGTGACTACTCTACTTGGACTGACATGGTCAAAAAGCATTAATTAAGAACACAGAGGGCTGGGGATTTAGCTTAGTGGTTCCACCACTTGCCTCACAAGCACAAGGACCCGAGTTCAATCCCCGGTACCAAAAAAACCACAAGAACACAGAATATAAGTAGACACTAAAATAAGAGGAAAAATGCTTGCAAATTAAAAAAAAAAGTGAACCTAACATTTCTTAAGCACTTACTATATAGCAAGCACTGTTTTAAGCAATTTATATAAATTACTTAGTTCTCCCAGCCCAATGAAGTGGGTGTTATTACTAACTCTATTTTAGATGATAAACAGTAATAAGGAAGTAAAGGCAAATGTTTATAAAATTAGTGAGAAGCAGAGGGAGAATCCAAACCCAGGCAATATGACTGTGTGGCTGCCCACCAAATGACTGAGCTGTGGTGAAGTGAGGACTTGATAAATAACATCACTCTTCACTAAATATCCACTATGTGCCAGGCATTATACTAGGTACTTCCAAATATCCCCTTGTAATAATTCCATTTTTTTTTTTTTTTGAGACAAGGTCTCGGTATGTGGCCCAGGCTAGCCTTGAACTCACTATGTAGTCCAGGCCAGCCTCAAACTCGCAGTGATTCTCCTACCTCACCACCCCAAGGGCTGGGACTACAGGTGTGTGCCACCGTGCCCAGCAACAATTCATTTTACAGATGGGGTAACAGGAAAAGAGGAAAATAACCTGCTCAAGATTAACAGTACTTGGGGGGGGGGACATCCACAGATATGCTGACCCTAAGGTCCATTATCTTTCTGATTTCACTTTATCTTGTAAAAGCAAAGGCAGACTGAGTTATAAGCAGCAGGATTTAACCCCAACTCAAAGAATCTGTAACAGAGTGGTGGCTCATTCCTATAATACCAGTACTCTGGGAGGCTGAGGCAAGAGGATCACAAATTCAATCTCAGCTTGGGAAATTTAACAATTTAACAAGACCTCATCTCAAAAACAAACAAACAAACCCAGGATCAAGTCCCTGGGCTCAATCTCAGTATGAGGAAAAAAAAAAAAAAGAAAAATAATTTGGGAGAGTTAAAATATTAAAGAAAAGCAAAATGACTTCACTTTATCTTTCACAAGCAAAGGACAGGGTAGAATATATGGCTAATTTGAGTTAAGGCCACAGAGTGAAAACAAGGTAGAATGTCAAGACCTAAGACAGTAGACAACATAGCTAAGGCAAGCTCTTTAGAAAGTGAAGAGTAAAATGAAGAGGATTCAGACACACTGCTGATAACATCAGGATGCATTGGAAAGGGGCAAGACTACAGTCAGACAGGCTAGGAGTTTGCTAGGAGCATGAAATACAGAGGTAGAGATGAGGAAGGCTCAAGAGAATGGCAAGGAAATAAAAGAGGAAAACATGAAAATAATGTATAGGATTTCATGAGCATTTAAAAATTCAACTGTTGAGCCAGGTGGTGGTACACACCTATAATCCCAGCACTCAGGAGGCTGAGGCAGGAAGATTGCCAGGAGTTCAAGGCCAGCCTGAACTACATACATATCTCAAAAAAAAAAATAAGTTCAACTTTCTTTTCTGGTAAACAAAATACATCAAAAGATTAATCACATAATGAACAGAAATGCTGTTTCAGAGTTAACTTCAAGGCTATTTTTTTTTCTGTATCTGCTTGAGCAACACCTGCCCACACTCTTCATTCCACAATAAGAACTAAGTATTCTTCCTCTGTACCCCAAATATATTGCTAACAACTGTTTGTACCAGGCAGCCAACCGTAGCTGTATCTGTAATGACCCATGCAATGGGCTGCCCTATCTCAGGCTGATGTGCTCAGCAATTTCAAACCCATGTCTGTGGTTGAGCAGTTCAGGGCGTCGGTGGGGAAGCTATCTCTCAAAATTTTCCACTGGTATAGGTGTGTGCAGGGCTGCACGGGTAAATGAGTAAGTGTCTGCAAACCTCCATTCTGAGTGTACTTGGGTTTGATGGTTGTGTCTTGGAAAGGTTTGGGCAGAAGGCACCAGCCTGAGAACTGGGTGCACCCAATGTCATCCACCAATATCAACTTCCCAATTCCTTATCAAGCAATTTCAAGGGAAGAATTTCAACTCACGCGGATATGGTGGGTACCACATGGTAGAAGGCGGAGAAGGTACGAGTTCTAAGTCATAGAAAAGCTTCATTCATTCAAATCAGTTAAATACAATTATTAAGCTTCAAAATCCCATATAATCTGATTCTTGGCTACCTCTCGTTTTCACTAATTCATTCCTCTTTACCTTAAATTCAACCACAATAGCCTCCTTGCTAGTGTTTCTGTATGGGGCGGGTGGTACTGGGGATCAAACTCACTGCACTTGGGAAGCAGGCAGCGGCACCACTGAGCTAAATCCCCAGCCTCTGCTAGTGATTCTTTAATCAAAGTCTTTCCTCTTCCCCCTTAGCCAAAATAAATTGCTCTTTTCATATATAGATAGATAGATAGATCTCCTATGCTTTTCTACTACCACACCTGTTCATTTTATTCCCTACTGGAATGCTCTTCTCTTTATCTTCAAAAATTTAAATCCTTCCCATCATCATTTCCTGCCCTGGCTCAAATTTTGTAATGCCTTCCCTAATTTCCTGTGAATTGAAAATGGGTCTTTCTCCCTGAATACCTACATAATGTTATTTATACCTCTTCCATAGCACCAATCCCTTTCAACTTCATACTTTGATAGTAGTTTATATACTCCACAGACTCTCTGTCGAAAGAATCCATGCTAGCTTCTATACATACAATATAGCCTGATAACTAAAGCAAATACATAATATTTTACAAATAGACATTAAAACTAGATTTGGCCTTAACAAGAAAATTTCAGCCTTGAACCAGAATTTTCTGACCTAATCTGCACAAGGGCTTCCTCTTGGAAGAAAATCAGAACACAAAGTACTATGCTTTGTAAATGCCAGTCATAATTTTTTTTTCTGGATTTGCCAGGCCACATATTCTTCTCTGCACTTGTAAATTACCTATTCTTGGTCTCTTCTCATCAGAAACTTAACAACCTCTCATATTCTACAATTCACATTTCAATTTCAAAGCAAAATAGATTGTTCTTTCAAATATAGGACATAATTGTAATTATTCAGGACCATCTAGTTTTACCTATTAACAGAGTACATACAGCCACGCTCACAAAAACACAATAATAAACAACAAGGATGATGATCACCATTCCTCCCAAGAAAGTTACTGGGGTTGACCTCCTGGCCTTGAGATAATTTTCAAACACAAGAAACAGCTTGTGTTTGACTTGAACAGTCTCACCCAGACCCTAACGGTGAGCAGGGAGTTTTCAGACAAGCAATGACATTCCGAATTTCACCATCAACTCTACCATCTTACTTGCTATGCGGTTGTGGCTAAGTCCCTGAGTCTCTCTTGTGTATTACATTTGTTCAAAACAGTGGCTCAACAGGGAAGAAAAATGAAAGCCTCATCTGTTTGAAGTCCAAAAATATAAACAAATTCTTTGCTACAATGACAAAATAATGTAAATGAAAATGCTTCCGATAAATTCTCTTTATTAAAACAGAAGCCAAATCCCAGTCATTGTGTCCCACTTACAAATTCATTACAGGAAGAAGTGTTTTAAGTCTCCCAAAAAGACGCAGTCTACACTTCCCTTAATTGAAAGTTGCTGATTTCTGAGGAACCAGTGGCTAAGCAGAATGTAAACCTAAAGCCTTCATCAGTAAACAACCCCGATCCACACTGGCCAAAGAGGAAAGCGGGGTGGGTGGAGGCGGATGACAGGAAAAACTCGGCTGACCACTGCGCCAAGTCAAGCCCTCCAGTCCTACACATACCCTCCCCCTCAGGCTGTCAGGTCTGCTCCGATATCGCGGTGGCAGATCTCAAGAGAGGAAACTGGAGCTTCAGCTGCGGCTCGGAACTCTTTGGGGGCCCCGGCCTGCCAGACGCGGGGGTGGCTGTCCTCCGTCCCCACAGTGGAAGTCCGAGACAGCCTCAGGTGTGGCCTTGGCCGCAGCCCGAGCGAAGCTCCGCGTCCCGGCAACCTCACCCGACCGGCCCCCAGGACGCCCCCAGCCCCCAGGTGGCTCCCGTGCTCACTGGCTTGGCTGATCCGCTGAATGTTGCCGCTGCAAGTCTGGATGATGCTGTTGAAGTCCCGGAGCTGGGGCCCCGAAGGCCCCGGGTTCCGGTACATGTCTAAGGGTCCGTAGGACATGATGGGGAGCTGAGCCTGGCTCGCCCTACTCCGCGCTCCTACCGGAAGCAGCCAGCAGCTGATCCCACAGGTTGACACAAACCGGGAAGAGAAAGGGCGGGGAAGGGGCTGAGGCTGCGTGCGCAGTGGCCCCGCCTACACGCAGCGTGCACACGTCTGCCCCTCCCCGCCCCACAGTGCGCAGACGCCGCTGGAATTGGTGGTAGTTTAGAGACCAGACTCCTCGGAGCTGAGGGACGCAGGGCTGGGCGATGACGTTCTATAGTTGGGGTCTCCGATTGGATAAGCCTGGGTGGAGGTGTGGGGCACAGTGACAGGAGGCAAAAATTTTCGATTTGCATAAAATTGTACCAGATGACCTCAGCCGTTACATTCTATTTGGGTCTATTCTGAGAATTCAGGCCCAAATATGGGAGAATAATTAATCGTGAAGCTCAGATCCGAAACCGAACAGTAACCTGAAATTACTTGCTTTGCTTCCAATCCTCTATGGCTTTGTAGTATTTGCGGAGTACTTTTATTTCTCCCACCACTCCTCCTTAACAATAAAATACTAATCAGATGTGTTGGGCATAGGTTTGTGTGTGAGTCCTCGCGGCAACTCATTTGTTCATAAGCATTTTAATAGCTAGATAGTATCCTATCAATATTTTATCTTTAAAATACATAAGGGACTGTAGGTTTTTAAAGTGTTGACGTAAAGTAACTCGACTAAGTACTAATTTTCCCTTTTACACCTGGTAAAATGAAGACCAGAGAGATTAGTCAATTTACAGAAGTTTGACTGTAAAAGCCGAACACTAAACTGATTCTGTCATCTACTTCCCTAAAACTCATTCCCATATTCCAAAATTTATTCGCTGTCGAAATTCCTACTAAATAATCTACACATCTATATCCCAAACCCAGATTTATTGGAGACCTAGGATTCTAAAATTTAAAAAAAGCATTCCTTAAGTAATTTGGAGTGTCAGAGCACAATGTTTCCACAGAAGGTTGCATTTTGTGAGCGAATGGCAAAAGGAAAGACACGAGATAGGATTTGGGTTTGGAGGAGGCCAGTGATGAACTGGCAGCTTCCTGTGTTCTTTGCCCACCGCACTCCATTCTACTTTTACAGTCTCTGAGAAAGGCAAAGAAGTAGTTTGCTCTTGTGGGAAGAGACCCTTGATCAAAATGTGTGAATGAGGCAGTGTTCAGCCTTACAGCTTTTTGAACCAGGGCTAGCTCTATTTTTCACTGGGGTGCATTTATGAGATCTTTTTTCTCCATAGAAAAGTGCATTTGGGGCTCTAGTTCTGGTTATTAAAACCCTACTAAGTCTTAGAATCCATAGTTTTGTAGCAAATCATGTAAATTTTTTTAAAAAATTTTGTGAGGGCCAGGATTTAGCTCATTGGTGCCCCTACCTGCCTTGCGAGTGCAAGGACTATTGTTCAATCCCCGGTACAAAAAAAAAAAAAAAAAA